GAAGGTAGAACCCTAAAAAGGGACATCAACATCTAGACTCTAGAGGGCAGCAAGATTTTATTTCCTCGGTGCGGAACGGAGCTACTCGCATGTACACTGCTTAATAACCCACAAGTCTTCAAGGTTAGTCCGAGTGGTGAGAGAGAACAAGGTAATTAGTTCGGATCAGAGTAGATTCAATCTTTAGAAATTAATTTTCGAGTAAAAATCATAATATCGAACGGGAATATTTGGTAATGATATTTGTTTTTTTGCCTAGCAAAAAAAGAAGTGGAACACAAAATATAGGTTGCATTACATTGTGAACGTTTCTACTCATACATGATATATGAACTTGATAAATATGTGTGACACATTGGACTGCAATGACTAACTACTCAGGTGACTCATCTTCTTTAATTATAATTATCAGGTTTATTTACGGGATGTTTTATCGCACTCTTAACTGGATATGTCATTATGGCTCATATAACGGGATTGTACAAACGGCAGCCAAATTCAGTCTACATGGAAACTGCCTACCCTGTACTTAGGTAAGCATTGCTGCAAATAATTTGAACAGAGTCTTAAAAAATGTTTGATACTTCGATGTAAACAAGGAGAGGCTAGAGAACTAAACTCTTTTTGTTTTGTTTTTGCAGCATGTTCAGCCTACTGTTTCTACACTTCTTCTTATACGGCTGCAACATTTTTGCGTGGAGAAAGGCGCGTATAAATTACAGTTTCATCTTTGAACTGTCCCAGACGAAGGAGCTAAAGTACAGAGATGTATTCTTGATCTGCACCATGTCGTTGACTACGGTGGTCGGAGTCATGTGTGTTCATTTGTTACTGCTAACAAAAGGCTACTCATATGCCCAAGTTCAAGCAATTCCTGGCCTTCTTTTGTTGGTAAATTCTTCAACTCATGACATGATAAATCATAAAAGGAAGATCAAATAATCCATATGTACAGTAAATATTAATCAGGTTTTAACTTTTCTTCTACATGTGCAGGTGTTTTTACTACTACTTGTGTGCCCCTTCAACATCATTTACCGATCAACCCGTTTCCGCCTTCTTCGTGTCCTAAGAAATATCATTCTGTCGCCTCTGTACAAGGTACTTGTGGAAATTTTTTAGGTCGACAGGCCGAGGACCCGCTCCAACAACACCGATAATGTCCTCACTTAACTACCTACACAATCCTCAAGTGTGGGGTTATATCACAAAAGGCCTCGATGTTAGTTAGAGTGGGGTCTATATAAATGGGTTTTTGCCCTTTCCTCTGTCCGATGTGGGACAGAATGGGGTTCTAACACTCCTCCCCTGCACGTGAGACCCCATTTATGGGCCACACTGGGGTCTCACGTGAAATTCCACACATCGGCAACCACGTGGAGCCATGTCGGGACTCACCCAATCGCGCGGGACCAATGGGGACCCACCCAATCACGTGGCAGTATGGGCCTGCCCCTTGGCTCTGATACCATGTGGAAATTTTTCAGGTTGACGGGCCGATGGCCCACTCCAACAGCACCGATACTGTCCTCACTTAACCACCTACATAATCCTCAGGTGTGAGGTTTTATCACAAAAGGTTTCGGTGTTAGTTAGAGCAGGGTAATTCTATATAAATGGGTTTTTGCCCTTTCCTCTGTCCGATGTGGGACAGAATGGGGTTCTAACAGTACTGCATCTCTTCAACATGATTAAAACAAAACATTTTTAGTAACAGCTAAAACCATATTAGACCAATTAAATCATGTTTCTAATTAGTTTCTGTTTGCTGTCTGCAGGTTGTCATGCTGGACTTCTTCATGGCAGATCAACTTTGTAGTCAGGTATCATTCAGCGCCAAATCAAATATATTCGTTCCTCAAGTTATAAACTTTTCCGATTCGTCATAACAATAGATTTATCTGTATTCAGGTTCCGATGCTTAGGAACCTCGAGTATGTGGCGTGTTACTACATAACCGGAAGCTACAAAACTCAGGACTATGGCTACTGCATGAGGGCGGGGCATTACCGAGATCTTGCCTATGCCGTGTCCTTCCTACCTTATTACTGGAGAGCAATGCAGGTATACAAATTAGGCTCTTCGGCCATCTGCTATAATCTTTACCGTCTCTTTTCTTCGACATCTGACAAAGATTTTGTTAAATTGGATTTTCAGTGTGCTCGGCGGTGGTTTGATGAGGGACACACAAGCCACCTTGTGAATCTAGGCAAATATGTGTCAGCAATGTTAGCAGCAGTAGCTAAAGTAGCTTATGAGAAAGAAAGGAGCATTGGATGGCTCTGTCTTGTCGTGATCATATCAACTTTCGCAACAATTTACCAATTGTATTGGGACTTTGTAAAGGATTGGGGTTTGCTACAAATGAATTCCAAGAATCCTTTGCTTAGGAACGAATTAATGATTCGCCGAAAGTTCATATACTACATCTCAATGGTAATTGCCATGTCCCCCTCAAACAAATCACAAATTTGGAGAACAAGATTTTTCTTGTGTGGCAAGCAACCGAGAATGAACTTATTCTCGAAATAAAATTCTGGTAAATGTCATGATAAAAGATTCCCAGTCTATTCAAAGAGGACAACATGACAGCAAAGGATTAGATGTTGTCTGAGAAGTTGCACGCACATCATCGAAACAAATTTTGTGTTTTCTTTCTAGGTTATAAATTTTATCGGGTTTCAAATCCGGTGTTTGACGAATGTTTTGGATGCTATATCTGCAGGGATTGAACCTTATTCTCAGGCTAGCTTGGATGCAAACTGTTCTCCATTCAAGTTTTGGACATGTAGATTACAGGGTAACCGGGCTGTTTTTGGCAGCTCTTGAAGTCATCAGAAGAGGGTTGTGGAACTTTTTCAGGTAAAGAAAAACCCTTAAATTCCTACGATTCTTATTCTTTTCAGTCTACATCTGCAGCCATATGCAGAATTTGACATGAAACTGAAATTACCCTTTTTCGATTTCAATATCTCTAACGCACGATATGTTCGAATGGTTCAGGTTAGAGAATGAGCATCTGAATAATGCAGGCAAGTTTAGAGCAGTTAAGACAGTACCACTGCCTTTTCATGAAGTGGATGATCAGGACTGACGCCCCCATTGGCAACAGTTGCATATAGAATTCGATGTTTAGGCGTTTTCAGAACAAATGTTTCCAAGAGGAGGAATCTTGTTGAAAGCTCATTCCAAAGTTGGTGTAATAAGACACATCAACTGTGTAATCTCTTTTGGTTCGATCGGGAGAACATTTGTTCATACTTGTACATAGAAAGAATTCCTTCATCAATGAAAGGAAAAGAAAATTGATGCAAAGTGCATATACATTAGTACTGCACAGTTCACTTCACTCATTGCTGCAAATACATCAACGAAGGGAACCTCAAATTGCCGAGTAGTTAATCGGAGAATGGGTGAGACGAAAATACAAGTGGCTGCCTAGTTAACTAGTTTATGCATCTTGTCAGTAAGTCACATGATCAAAACGGTTTCACTTAAGAAATTTCTCTGAATCCAAGTTGGGTCGTGTCATAATTTGGATTTTGGAGGTTTAAGGATTGTTAGTTGCGAGAGATTTTTTAATGTGACCGTAATACGGAATGATATATCACGTGTCATTATATATATTTGTGATATATCACACGTGTTTCGGTTACAATAAAAATTTTCTAATTGGTTGCACAACTCAGCCTTTTCCATATAACACGTGGCAAAAACCCAATTGATTTGCCCAAAATCAAATACATTCTTGCAATTGCAATCGGAAACAAAACAGAGAAAATTGCGTACAGTCTACAGAGCTACATCAATGGCGGCGACACCAACCGCCTGCGGTTTCTCCCCCGCCATTCCATCCCTCTTGCCTCTCATAACTAACCCTAACAAAACCATTTCCTTTTTCCGACCGTTTTCTGCTTCCCAGAAAAACCCTACCGTCGGCCTCTCCTGGTCCTCAACCCACGGACGAAGAAACCCTCTCTGGTGAATTGGCTCTTCTGGGTTTCTTTCAATTTTTCATTTTTCTTCGTCCACATATATGTTTATGCTAAAGTTTAAATCTTTAATTTCAGCTCAAGAATTTCCCATACGGCAGGTGTAGCACCAAAGAGGGGCTATGTGGTGCTGGCTGTTTCTGGGTTGATGAGTGGCAATTCTGAGACGGACGCAGAATGGGAACCCAATAATCCGAATACGGTATAAAAAAATATGCGATTCGAGTGTAATTTGATAGAATCATTGTCTTTTTCGTATCGATATTGCTCGTAGTCATTTAATTTTTCTTACAAGCTTTTTGAGACCAATGTGACATATGTTATCATGTCAACGTATGTGTGTGTTTTGTCATTGCTTGGATGTGTTAACTTCTTAACTTGGGTTCTGTTTCTTGGATGCCCTTTTCGAATTTTCGAAGGATGCTACGATTGACATACAACTTCCAAGAAGAAGCTTGCTTGTGAAATTTACTTGTAATTTGTGTGGTGAAAGGACAAATAGACTCGTCAATCGATTGGCTTATGAGCGGGGGCTTATTTACGTACAGGTACTTATTCCTCTTGTTGATTGATATAAGATTCAGTGTTGTTTGTTCTTGATGATGAAAAACCTGTTAAACTTTTTTTCTGTCAATTTGTTGATATTTTGATACTTTTCTATATAGTCCTTAGAAAAAAGCATATAAAAATTAAGGATTATGTTAAGCGGTCGGTTTCAAAGTTGCTTCTAGTTCTCTTAATCTAAAAGTAAGAAACAAGTTTTAGGTTCATCTGACTAATTAGCACTGCTTCTCATCAGTGTGCAGGGTGTCAAAAGTATCACAAGTTAGTTGATAATCTTGGCCTTGTGGTTGAGTATGACTTAAGGGAGGATTTTGATGTGGATACAAATGCGGATGAAGTTTGATCCGACATTGAATTCATTATGCTACTTTTGAGTTGTCTTTGTGATAAAGTAATTCTTGGCGGTTGTTGGAATTCATCTCCCTTGATATATTGAACACGAAGTAAACAAAAAAGTGGTAAATGTTGATCGTTCATCTTTTGTATGATTGATTCTTAGATCTAGGGTTGTACATATGAAAAAATCATCTTATTGCAATATATTCTCTTAAAAAAATTTCTTCTGGCACTGTACCAATAAATTCATAGTTCAACGTCTAAGATTGGTAAGAACTTTAGCCTGTCTTTGCCAGCAGTATAGTGATTGCTAACCCGATCGTAACCCAGAATCCTGATATCCCTCCTTTCTGGTGGAGTGCATTTCCTCCATTCTATGAGACAATAAAGAGAAAGGTCATGGAAAAAACTTTAAAGTTGTTAAGTAACATCTGTAAAATTTGAGTTCCATCATGCAAATATGGTGTTCTATGGTAATAAGAGTAATAGCTGGTTAAATTCTTTACCAAATTCAAACTTGGTGATGGGGCCGGTGTTGTATCGTCCTCTGTATCTGTCACCGTAGGTGGTGCTGGGGGACTTTGTACAGTTGGTGCAGGTGCTGGTGCATGATGATGATGCTTGTGCTTGTGCTTGTGCTTGTTCTTCCCCTTGTGGTTGGGTGGAGCAGGTGATGGTGCTTGCACTGGTTGTGAAGCTGGTGGCACAATAACCGGTGCTGGCGCGGATACTGGGGGTGCTTTTAATGGTGAGGGCACTGGTGCTACTTTAGCTGGTGCCGGTGCAGGAGTTGCTTTAACAGGGGCTGGGGCTTGAACTGGTGTTGGAGATGCAGGTGGCGCCGCTACAGGAGGCGGCAATGTTGGTGTCGAAACAGGTGGTGATGGCGGCAGATTCGGTGGCTGTGATGGAGTTGACACAGGTGGACTTTGGGGTAGCGGGGGTGGGACTGCTGGGCTTTTGGATGGTGCTACCTTAGGGGAAGGTGATGCGGGTGTGGTGATTGGTGGGGTTGCTGCTGCATTTACAGGCGGTTGTGTTACTGCGGTTGGTGCGGTAGAAGGTGGTGGGGTTGTAGTCGGCAGAGTAGCCGGTGCAGCAGGTGTGGTAGTAGGCGGGGGCGTTGCAGCTGGCAAAGTAGAGGGTGCGGCTGCCGGTGTCTGTGCACCGGTAAGGATTACTTGAAAGCTGAGGCAACATAGGACGAAAGCCAGCAAAATCGAAACCATTTTTGGAAGACGAATTCCAGGGAACAGCATCGGAGGGTTGTCGGTTATATATTAGGTTTGTGAGGAGAGAAAATTGCAGTTTGGTGAAACAATTGAAGTAGGGAGAGATGTAATTTTCATGTGATGGGAACTTCTCTGCTAATCATTTGGCGAGCATATGTTGTTAATGAAGTTGAGAAGCTGGCCAAGAAATTGACAAAAGTCTCGCGGCACAAATGTAGAAGAAACGTCTATTTTTGATCTTAACAGCAAAGCTTAACTCTGGTAGGAGGTGTCTATCCGTCCTTTCTGAAAGCAACGTCCTCAATCCTCAATTCAACACCCTTCGTAACACGGGACGTTGCCATGGCAGTACTGTCTCATGCAAGTTACTCTCCTGTTAAGCGCAGATGACCGCACGGCATTTATTTGTTTGTTTATCATTCATTTGGTAATGGCTTACTGTCGAAGGGAGGTTGGAGGCACTGTGATTAAAACAAAGGATGGGCAAACGAAGGCCAACAATAATCCAACGTGAATATCATGAATAAAAGCTATATTTAAAATTAAATAAATTAAAAAAAAAAAAAAAGACACTATCTAGAACATAAAAAAAAATTGGATGCTCCGGTGTATCGGGTACTTTGGGCGTTTTAACTGTTTTTAGATCTTTATTTTTGTATTTTCAAATAAAGATCTAACGGTTAAAATAGGGGTGTGATATCCACACATCCCATTTTACTTCTCACACACCTTTTTGATTTTCAGCAGTCGGATTGGATGAATTGAAGAAGATCAAATGACAGAAATTCTCAAGGGGTGTATGAGAAGTGAAATGTGGTGTGTGAATAGCACATTCCCTAAAATATCCGAAGTACTGAATACTCACCTAAGAAAGTACCCTAGAGCATTGTCCCATTTACGCGGCCTTGCTTGTAATGCTAGGTTTCTGTAAATACTTTTGGAACACGCTTTTGTTAAAATCGCAATTAAATGTTTATTAAAAATTCATACAGCTTTTTAAAACAAATTGATAAGGGCTTCTTTGAAAAGTGCTTTTATAATTTCCAAGTTTTTTTTTTTAAATTTGCCGGATGGTCCCATAATCTATAGTCATCCCATTTGACATCATGCAATTGACATAGTCATAGCTCATAGTCGGATCGCCAGTGAAATCTAATTATACTGGTAGATATAATTTGGCAAAATTTTCGGACTAACTGAAAGAAAGACAACTAAATTTCGCCAACATTCGACACAGATTTGTACATTCATCAAACTAACAGTCTTTGAACTCTTACAAACAGAACATTATGTGGAAGATGCGATGCATCTTCGTAAGTAACTTTGATGGATGGAGAGAAATTCGATGAAGACGCGGGGGCGCTGCCGGGTCTGCTTGCTTTTCCTTCTTCCTTCTCCTCAACTGGAAGAATTGCTGCATTATATCTGCACAATCCGATGCCAACACGCCACGTTGGATTGTCATATTTGGGTGGAATGGGTGGACAGGAGGAGCTGGTTTTTCCGAGTGTTCCGAGCTTCGAGCTATTTCCTTCACCCCCATCAGGAAAAAGTCTGCAAGCATATTTACAGGTTGATAAGATAAGGAGCAATTGAATAACACAATTCGCATACCTTATCCAGTTAGGGGTTACTTAGAAGGGCACAACTCGCATACCTTATCCAGCTGCCATCAGCTCCGAGAAGCTTATTTGGAGCTCGCCATACAACAGTGTCGACTCTTGCTTGGAGTATTGCTCCAGCACACATTGGGCACGGTTCAAGTGTTACATACAGAGTAGTCTCCTGAGACATCAGAAAACAAGAGTTAAGTCTAAGGTGGGATGCCCTGGCTTCCTTCATCGGTAAGTAGTAAGTTGAGTTACATATAAACCAATGTCAACAAAACACTTCCACAGTTACGAATGGTGTTATCATTGTATAAATTTCATGATAAATGTGACTGACATGGCTTCCACTTTACAACTTAGGGAGTTTTTTAATATCCAATAGAAATGCAGATATTTGACGTTTAATGAAAAAAGAAAGACTGCTCTCTAACTTTGCAATGTCATCATGCAGACACAGAAGCCAGAAGGGAATTTTTAATGGAGAGGAAGAAAAGCATGATTCCATGACTAGAATATGTCCCTTCAGATCATCAATATGCGTGTATATATATATGGAAATGGGTACTAACAACTAAATAACAGAGAAATTACCGAAAGCCTCCATGACCGAAGAACATTTGAAGCTTCCCGTATGCATATCATTTCTGCATGGGCAGTTGAATCCCGTAATTCTTCCACTCTGATACACACATCAGTGTAAATATCCAGAAGAAAGCATTTAGCTATACACATAAGCTAATAGAACTCACAGGTTACATCCACGTGCAATAATCTTGGCCTTGTGGTTGAGTATGACTTAAGGGAGGATTTCGATGTGGATACAAATGCGGATGAAGTTTGATCCGACATTGAATTCATTATGCTACGTTTGAGTTGTCTTTGTGATAAAGTAATTCTTGGCGGTTGTTGGAATTCATCTCCCTTGATATATTGAACACGAAGTAAACAAAAAAGTGGTAAATGTTGATCGTTCATCTTTTGTATTATTGATTCTTAGACTAGGGTTGTACATGTGAAAAAATCATCTTCTTGCAATATATTCTCTTGAAAAAAATCTTCTGGCATTGTACCAATAAATTCATAGTTCAACGTCTAAGATTGATATTAGCCCGTCATTGCCAGCAGTATAGTGATTGCTAACCCGATCGTAACCCAGAATCCTGATATCCCTCCTTTCTGGTGGAGTGCATTTCCTCCGTTCTATGAGACAAAAAAGAGAAATGTCATTGAAAAAACTTCAAAGTTGTCAAAGTAACATCTATAAAATTTGAGTTCCGTCATGCAGATATGGTGTTCTATGGTAATAAGAGTAAGAGCTGGTTAAATTCTTTACCAAATTCAAACTTGGTGATGGGGCTGGTGTTGTATCGTCCTCTGTATCTGTCACCGTAGGTGGTGCTGGGGGACTTTGTACAGTTGGTGCAGGTGCTGGTGCATGATGATGATGATGCTTGTGCTTGTGCTTGTGCTTGTGCTTGATAAACCGATTCCAACTCAGTCTATGCATACACCAATAGAATTCCAGTCTAACATTGAATCCCAGTCCAACACGGAATCCTCACCGCTTGCTGCACCGCTTGCTGCAGATCGTGTTTTGTCCTGATTCAACTTCTTGTAATCCTAGTTCTATGTATATATGACTTGTACTCCTATAAATATTAATGCACGCCACTCACTCGATTATTGAGTTGAGATTTTATAATTACTGTCTTTCATGGTATCCAGAGCCTACGTCTCACGACAAAGGTTCATATTATAATTTTTTTTTTCTTCTTCTTTCTCTTTTCCTCTCAGTCTTCTACAGTTATGGCGTCTTCTTCCTCTGCTACTGCTGCTCCCTCTGTCATGAATTTTCTCACCATCAAGCTCGACCGCAACAACTACCCTCTCTGGCGTGCTCAGTTCCTTCCCTTGCTGCGCAGCCGCAACTTACTATCGTATGTTACTGGTGAAAATCACTGCCCATCTGCTTTTCTTCTTGATGACAATGGTCAACTCACAGACAAGGTCAATCCATTATATACTGAATGGATACAGACTGATCAGATGATCCTTTCTTGGATTACGAGTTCACTTACTCCCAAGGTTCTTGCTACAATCATCAACAAAATTGATTCGGCTTCTGCCTGGTCGTCTCTTCAAGAACGGTATGCTTCTACGTCTCAAAATCGTATTATCCACATGCGTACAGAATTGATGACTACTGCTCGTGGTAATCTTTCTATCGCTGACTATCTCGACAAAGTCAACGCCATCGCCGACAACCTTGCTCTTTCTGGCGCCCCCGTCTCTGAATCCGACTTAGTCGCAATTATTATGAGCAAAGTAGGTCCACAATATGAGACCACTGTTGCTTCCGCACAGGCTCGTGACACTCCCATCAACTACAATTCCTTGGAAGCTTTATTACTGAGTGCCGAGCAACGTTACAACGCCTTTTCTCTTCCCTCTGATAGCGGCACCTCTGCTTTTGCTGCTGTGCGTGGTGGTCGCGGTGGCTTCCGTGGCCGTGGTAATTCTTTTCGTGGTGGACGTGGTGGAAGTTTCTCCCGTGGTGGTGCTGGTAACTTCTCACGCCCACATTTGGCTGCTCCTGACTCCGGGTCTGCTGCACCTGCAACATCCACATTTGCAACCCCTTCCCGCGGGTCCTCTTCTTCCTACAATGGACTTCTTGGTCCCGCACCTGGCTCCAGCACTCCTCCTGGTTCCTTGCCTGTTTTTTCCTCCTCTGGGCGTCTTCAATGTCAGATTTGTCAACGCTTTGGGCACTCGGCTATTGATTGCTTCAATCGTCTCAATCTGTCCTATGAAGGTCGGGTTCCCTCCTCTCGTCTTCAAGCCTACACAGCTGCACCATCTTCCCGTGCTTCCACCGCTGCACCCTCTGTCCCGCAATGGCTTTTTGACTCCGGCGCCAATTCTCACATAACCAATGATGTCAGCCAACTCCAAAATCCTCGTGAGTATCATGGCACCGATCAAATTCGTGGTGTGCATGGTGGTCCAGGTTTGAACATCTCAAAAATTGGTGACTCGTACCTTAACACTAAATATGCTTCTTTTCGTTTGCCTAACACCCTTTATTGTCCCCAAGCATCAACTAATGTGATTTCTTTGAACCGTTTTTCGGATGATAATAACTGCTTCTTTACTTTACATCCTCATTTTTATCGTGTGCAGGATTCACGGACGGGGAGGATCCTTTTACAAGGCCGGAGTAACAATGGACTCTACCCGTGTTCTAGTCACCCCTCTCATCAAACCCATGGTGTTTTTGCTTTATTAGGTGAACGTGTCACTGATGCCTTGTGGCATAGTAGGCTAGGTCATCCTTCGTTTTCCATTTTAAAACATTTAATTTCTGCCAATAAATTGCCCATTCAAGGCTCGTTTCAAAATAAATTTTGTCAATTTTGTCCCCTAGGAAAAAGTCATAAATTACCCTTTTCTTTGTCTACATCTGTGTCTTCTTTTCCTTTAGCGTTAATTCATTCCGATGTTT